CCAATTTGGAGTTTGATCCCACAACCATGAGATCAGACCTGAGCTGAAACCAAGAGTTGAATGCTCAACCGACTGAGCCACCCAGGTTCCCCTACAGTGAGTATCTATCAGAGCATTCCAGTCAAACCCTATCTGTTCTTGGCCTTGCCCTCTTTTTTCTGAAATGTCTTTTATCACACTTCAATCCCTCCTTTGAGTGACAGTGGTGCAGTTTCTGACTCTGGCCTTTGTGTGTCAGAGCCCTTGCCGATACCCTTCTTTGCTTGGTAAAGTCGTCCATCCACCCATCCCAGAGCCTCTGGGAAACCTCCTTGCTCACGAGGAAGAAATCATCTGTGTGCCCACTGTACTTTATAATGCTTCATTTAAGCTCTGGTCACAGTATTTTGTATTCATTTGTTTACTTGTGTTTTTTGATGGACTCGGCTCCTTGAGTGCTTACTCACTGTGGCGATCCCTGCGCCCAGCTCGGAAGAGGGTGTACATATCTGTGGAGCAAAATGTTTTTCCTGGGACTCTCTCTTAGTGGCAGTGGTGGAGAGTGACACAGGGGGCCAGCAGGGTTAGGACAGGATGAAGACAGTGCCAGACCACAGGGCAGTCAGAAGCTAGAAGTCTCCACTGGACCATCGTCAAGGGGTTGCTTCACTCTGGCTATTCTTCCAGGCTCTCACCTCTGCCCATGCTGCTCCTCCTCCTTCCTTGGGCCACCAAGTGCTATACAGTTGTCCCTTTCAGGTCCTACTCTCCCTTCAGAGCCCTGCCTGGGCTCCATCCCCTCCAGGCATCCTCCAGGCTGTAGACTGCTCACCTGCCCACTCATTCATTCTTGTGACAGGTGTGTGTTGCTGGAGCCCCTTCTAGGTGTGAATCAGGAGACCAGGAGCCAAGGAGGATGAGGACGTGGAAAGAACAGCCAACAGCCCACCTCCTTCAGGAGCTTATAATCAAGTAATATATTAGATAGTATTTTAAATTAAATATATGTTTTTATTTTTTTATTTTTTAAGTTTATTTATTTTGAGAGCTACAGAAACAGCATGAATGGAGGAGAAGCAGAAAGAGAGAGAGAGAGAGAGAGAGAGAGAGAGAGAATCCCAAGCAGGCTCTGAATTGCCAGCACAGATTCAGAGCTCGAACTCATGAAACCAAGAGATGGTGGCCTGAGCCAAAACCGAGAGTCAGATGCTTAACCAACTGAACCACCCAGGCGCCCCTAAATTAAATATATATTTTAAAAATAGAATATTACTTCCATATATTATACATAGTACTGATCATTTTTTTCATTTTAAAAAGAAATAAAAACCATCCATCTTCCTATTACCTGAGTCAATCTCTGTTAACGTTTTAATATATTTTCATCTAACTTAAAACAAAATAATTTTTTAGTTTTTATTTTGAAATAGTTTGCCTTACAGAAAGGTTGCATTAAGAATATAGAACTTTCAGGGGCACCTGGGTGGCTCAGTCAGTTGAGCTTCTGACTTTGGCTCAGGTCATGATCTCACAGTTTGCGGGTTTGAGCCCCACGTTGGGCTCTGTGCTGACAGCTCAGAGCCTGGAACCTGCTTCGAATTCTGTGTTGCCCTCTGTTTCTGCCCCTCTGCTTCTCATGCTCTGACTCTCTTTCCTCTCAAAAATAAATAAACATTAAAAACAAAAGAACTTTCCTATACCCTTTGCCTAGATCCACCAGTTTTTAACAGTTTGCCATACTTCCTTTATTATTCTTTTTATCTACAGGTGATCATAAAGTCTGGAAGCACAGCAAATATACATGGCATCACCAAGGACATTTTCAGTCTGTGAAGAAAATAAAAGTGTCTACATTTGCAGATTGTATTGCCACCCTCTCTATTTACACGTTATTGTTTCTCAGCCATTTGAGAGTAGCTTATATTCATTTATCTCGCTACTACTTTATGTATCATAAAAATGAGGACAGTCTCTTACATTTCTGTCTTAGTCCATTCAGCCTGCTGTAAGAAAAATACCGTAGACTGAGTGGCTTATAAACATCAGAAATTAGTGCCTCACAGTTCTGGAGGCTGGAAGTCTCACCTCAAGGCACTGGCAGATTTGTCATCTGGTGACAGCTTGAGCCCTGGTGTTCTTCCATGGCAGAGGGGTAGGGGCCCTCTGGGGTCTCTTTTATTTTTTAAAACTTGTTTTAATGTTTATTTATTTTTGAGAGAGAGAGAGAGTATAAGAAGGGGAGGAGCAGAGAGAGAGAGGGAGACACAGAATCTGAAACAGGCTCCAGGCTCCGAGCTGTCAGCACAGAGCCCGATGCGAGGCTTGAACCCACGAACTGTGAGATCATGACCTGAGTAGAAGTCTGACGCTTAACTGACTGAGCCAAGGAATCTTTTTTTCTAAGAGCACTAATGTCATTCATGTCAAAAGGCCCCACCTCAAAATACCATCCCATTGGGTGTTAGGTTAACATGTGAATTAGGGGAGGGGCACAGACATCCAGTGTCTAGCAATAACCTTAATTATAGTTATTACATTTAGAATTTAAGATGGATATAATACTTTTATTAATCTATGATCCCTGTGCCAATTTTGTCAGTTCTCTCAGTAATGTCCTTGAGAGCATCTTTCTGTGATTCAGTACAGAATCACATATAACATTTAGTTGTCTTGTCTCTTCAGTGTCCTTTCATGTAGACCAGGTCTTGAGCCTTTCTTTGTCTTTATGACATTGACATCTTTGATGAGCAAGGCTGATTATGCTTCTCAACTTGTTTGTCCGATGTTTCCTCATGATTAGATTCAGTCCCTCCAGAACACTATTTGAATGACTCTGTATACTTCTCAGGGTATCACATCTGGAGGCACACAATGGCCATCTGCCCCTCATTGGTCCCTTTAACATGTCCATTGTTTTGTGGGCTGGCACTTCATTACTTTCTGACACAATAAGCTGTTCATCTTGTTCCTTCCCTTCCCCAGCCCTGGATTCAGCCACTTCTGTAAGGAACCCTGGCTCATTTGAGTAGATCGGGGTTGGGATGTCTTTCTGTCTGTTATCCCCTTACTGTCTAACCAGCTCTATTTATCTCCTTGATTTTTTTTCTTCTTAAAGTTTATTTATTTACTTAGAAAAAGCACGTGAGTAGGAGAGGGCAGAGAGAGAGAGAGAGAGAGACAGAGAGAGAGAGACAGAGAGAGAGGGACAATCCCAAACAGGCTCCACGCTGTCAGCACAGAGCCCGACGCGGGGCTCTATTTCATGAACTGTGAGCTCATGACCTGAGTAGAAATCAAGAGTCAGATGCTTATCTGATGGAGCCATCAAGATGCCCCCATCTCCTTATTTTTTTTAAAGTTGGAATTATCCTGTTTGTATGCATTCTACAAAATCATAAGCCTATTTTCATGTCATGAATGTCTGAAAACATTTTAAATGTTCCATCATATGAGTGGACCATTATTTGCTTAACCATCCACCTTTATAAATAATGCAGCGGTGACCATCCTCAGCATTTACGTCTGACCGCACCTCGGAACATCTCTGAGACTAAATACTTAGAGGGGAGATTTTGCCAGGACAGCATTATGTATAAGTGGGGGAAATGGTTCAGGCCTTTTGAGTTATAAGAGGTCCGAGAAGCAACCCTTTTAGTTAGGAGGAGTGCCGAAGTTTGATCTGGTCTGTGAACGGCAGCAGCACCTCAATGGGGCTGGATGTAGGAGGTGGAGAGGGTGCTCCATACGGGGGGGGGGGGGGGTCATAGCGAGCAGAGAGATGGAGGCAGCATGGGGCCTGGTGTGCACAGGGAACTTTCAGGGGACCTTTGCAGGGTCTTTATTGGGAAGGGAAAGCAGCAGAGGTGGCTATAGGTTCTGGTGTCCTAATGAACAAGGGGAGGGAGGGGCTGTGGAGGCTTCTGCTTCCTTCACCATGCAGAGGATGGTGCTGGGAGAGCAGTGGGGCTCCAGGGCAGATTTGGGGTAGAGCCCGGAGTTTAGTGAGGCATGAACCCGCAAGGTTTGCCGCTTCCCCTTTGTCCTCCATCTTGGCATCCTCCCACCTCCCCTTGAGCTTGGCTTTTTCCCTAGGGCAGAGGGCCCAGTAGCAGTGGTGCCTGGTTTCCTTTCATTGTGCACTAGTGCCTGTGGCCTGCTTTGCACAAAGCCCTGCTTTTCTGGGGCCCCTGCTCTGGGGTGAGGCCAGGGCAGGCAGGCTCCTATCCTGGGCCTCACAGCAGCTCCAGGGCTATGGGTACAAGAAGGTAGGAGGGGAGAGGGCTGGGCACTGTCATGCTTGAGCTTCGCCTGTGGGGAGCTTTCCCTTGGGGACAGAGCCTGAGTTGGACCTTGAAGGGGGACCCTCCCTCTCTGGAGATGACCAGAGGGAGGCAGGGAGGCTGTGGGAGACAGGGAACGCCGGGAGGAGGCTTCGCCCGGGCCTCACCTTTAGCCTGTATGTTCATGGGTGCTTGGGAGCTATGGGAAGCTGGGAGTGGATCTCCGGGAATTCAGGAAGTGGAAGGAAAATGTGAGGCACTTTGAAGAGCAGCTGGGACAGTCACTGAGTGTCTTTTTTTTTTTTTTTCTAATATTTTATTTATTTTTGAGAGAGAGAGAGACAGCATGAGCAGGGGAGGGTCAGAGAGAGAAGGAGACACAGAATCTGAAGCCGGCTCCAGACTCTGAGCTGGCTGTCAGCACAGAGCCCAATGCGGGGCTCAAACCCACGAACTGTGAGATCATGACCTGAGCCGAAGTCGGACGCTTAACCAACTGAGCCACCCAGGCGCCCCAACTGAGGGTCTTAATGAGTGGTCTTTATGGGTTGACTTTAGAAAGCCTTCAGACCCAGGAGGCCCTCAGGTCATCGAGAAGCAAGGTCTCATTGGCACTCATCACAGGGGAGTCCTGGGGACGGTGGGACCAATAATAAGTGTAGGCTGCGGGGCATGGTCCATGGGCACTAGAGGCTGATTGACAGCAGCTGACCTGCTCTCCTCTCCCACCTCCTTCCCCAGACATCCTTCTACGGCCGCTTCAGGCACTTCTTGGATATCATTGATCCTCGCACACTCTTTGTCACTGAGGTAAGTCCTGGGTGTCACTCTCAGTAGAGGCCCCTGGTCCCTTTAGAAGATCCATGGGTCAACTGCGTGTATGCTTTATACACATTGTCTCATTCCGTTTGCATCTTATGACGTCCCTTCAAGGTAGTTATATCGCATCATTATTACTTCGAACTCTAATAAAGTTATTACCCAGCACATGTATGACATGCTCATTAGAAAAGATCACATGGCATAGGTATGTTTAAATGAGAAAGTATCCTTTATATACTCTCCCTACCCAGTTCCCTCCTGCTCTGGGTAATGTTAGGTTTGTTAAGGTACAGTTTACCATTCTGAATTTCGACAAACATATTCAGTCATGTATCCACCATCAGCATGAAGCTGTAGAACACGCCCGTGTTTGCTCATGCCCGTTTATAAAGTTGATCTCCCTTGTTCCTGCCAGCCTCTGGCAACCACTCGCCTGTTTTCTGTCCATATTGTCTTCCTGTTTTAAATGCCATGTGAATGGAATACTACAGCACGTAGCCTTGTGTGTCTGGCTTCTTTTCCTTAGTGTAATGTTTTTGAGATTCATCCATGTTGCTGCTTGTATCATTGGTTCATGACTCCTTATTGCTGAGTAGTATTCCACTGAGAGGATGTTCCAGAATGTGTGTATCCATCCACTTGCTGATGAACACTTGGGCTGTTTCCAGTTCAGAGCTATTGTAAATAAAATGCTATGAGCATTCTTTGTGTGGACGTATGTTTTCATTTCTCTTGAGTAAGTAACTAGGAATGGGTCGCTTGTTCATACGGTAAGTGTGGTCAGTGTATGGTTAGCTTCATAGGAAGCTGCCAAACCATTGTTGAGAGTGGCTCTGCATTTAACATCCCATCGCAATGTTCCAGCTGCTCCACACCCTCACCAACATGTGGTATCGTCACATTTAAATCTATTGCCAAGTCTATTTCAGCCATCATGAGAAGTATGTCTTTATAGCCTTTTTATGTGTGTAGCAATGCATGCACACATATAAAAAAGTAAATATTTATTAAGCCCTTACTGTGAACAGGGCAGTGTTTTGATCAACTCAAAACATCCCTATGAGGTAGATGTTATTCTAAGTTCCATTTTACAGATGAGGAAACAGACAGAAGTTAAATCTCATGCACATGGTGCTGGCCAGTGGTGGAGCCAGTGTATGAACCCAGGTAAGCTTGTCTCTGGAACCGCTATTCTTAGACAGTTCACGCCTCGTCCAGGTAATGATCCCAAGATTACTCAGCGGGCAGAAGGCTCGGGCTCCCGCGCTGGGGCCCCCATATACTCCGAGGAAGGTCTTGAGCCTTTGAGTTGGCTCACCGAGTAGCCAGCACTTCTCTGCACATCTTCTCTCGAACATTGATTGGTTTGCTTTTGCCCTGGAGTTGATCCCTCTGGGAGGTCAAAGCCATGATGGAAAGAAGCACAAGGGCTTGTGGGCACCTGGGCTTAGAACCATCCCCAGTGGGGAATGCAGCCCAGTAACATGAAATGTGGGAATTACCCTGATGTGGTTTCCTACGGCATGTCAGTGAGAACAAAGGGCTCCGCTATTTCACTGGCTGACTTTACCTGCCCCTCTGGGTCTACCGCCTCGTAAGTGCAAGGCTTTAGGTTCTGGGCTCTGTCTGGATTCTCCTGAGGAGTAATCAATGTGGCTACACAAAAATTTGGGAAAGCACCAAGCTAGAGAAACTGCTTACCTCGCCTAGGTGATGTGTCTTTCTAGAAAGCTCCAGAACAGTGCAAAACCAGATACAGTTGTAACATGAATTCTGACAAAAATGCCACCTGCTTGATGCAGAAGGTCCTAGAGGCCCGTGCTTAACTCGAAGGATAGGGGTGCTAATGATGGGGTTGAGACACAGTGAGAAATGGTGGAGGACGACGGGATGTCAGGAGTACTTCGTGCTCCCTAGATTACCACAAGGAGGCAGGGGCCTTGGGGATGGATGGGTGCCTGCAGGGCAGCATGACAGCTGTGCCAGGGGACTCACCCCTCCTTCCTCTCCTGTCCCCCCTCTTCTCACTCCCAGACCATTTCATTTCCCACTCTCCTCCTGGTACCACATGTCTCTTGCATTTTGAAAGGCCCCAATATTCCTGTACCTCACTAAACCATTTTTGACCTGTTTCCCCTATCAGCAATTGACACGTCAAAGCAACCTAACTATTTACTGACTAGAAAATAACCAATACAACAGTAATTTTGGAACAGTTTTCAAAATTTACATGTCCCCCTCCCCTCATCAAAGATTCTGAAAGGCTTCCCAGAAAGACCCACACCTCCTGGATCTCCCCTGCACCTTGGGTCGGGACTATTTCCAGCACCACATGCTGGCCTTTTGGAAAGCTTTTGCCCAACGAAGATCATCTTCTAAGCCCTAAAAGCTCTGGAAGGGCCATGAGTGGGGTCTCCAGGCCTTCACTGGCTCTAGTGCAGGCAGGTTGCTTAGCAAAGCCATCTGCATGGAAGCAAGAAGTTAGAAGCTGAGAGGAGAGTCTCTTACCTGATGTTCTCCCCCATGAACTGTAGCACAGCCAGGAGGGCCACACTCCCCTCTGCCAGCTCAGTCCACAGACCATGGTTCATGGTACAGAGCACTGTTTCTCTCCCAGACCCTTGGCCAGTGTTCTGGGAGCAAGTATGGTGTGGTAACCACCCAGCTGGAAGAGATCCAGACAGGTCTGCTTGCCTTTGAGGGTAATAGGTTTGTGGAGACATGAGGAGGTGGTTCTGGAAGCCAGAGGTTCCTCAGGTAGAAAGATCCTGGGCCACGTGAGCCATCTGGTGACCTGGTTCTGAGAGGCATTAGCTGAGTCTATGGAAAGACTCCTCTTGAGAGAATTTTGCAGCGATTTGTTTGACATTTATAACTGACCATGCTTGTAGAAGATTCCAACCCTTATATGTGTGATGAGGCAGAGGAAATTTTATTCACCATAGTTTCTCTTAGGAAGAAGGCTGTCTTTGTCATAAGAATTTTTTTTTTAATATTTTTATTTATTTCTAGGAGAGAGAGAGAGAGAGAGACAGCGTGAGCAGGGGAGGGTCAGAGACAGAGGGAGACGCAGACTCCGAAACAGGCTCCAGGCTCTGAGCTGGCAGTCAGCACAGAGCCCGACGCGGGGCTCGAACCCACGAACCGCGAGATCATGACCTAAGCGAAAGTCGGTCGCTCAACCGACTAAGCCACCCAGGCGCCCCATGTCATAAGAATTTCTTAAACAAGGCTTCAGAGGAGGAAGGCGTTGGTCTGCTTGACAGAGGGGGAAGAATTGTGCTTCTTGATCATGCTTAGAGAGAGAGAAGGAAGAAGAGGATGAAACAGTGGGAAGGGGAGCGAGCATCCAGATGAGCTGAGAGGCCAGTGGCTGGGGCTCTCTTGTGACTGGTCAGGCCCACTGAGTTGTGAAATTTGTTGACATGGTGCACTTTTGTCCCCTCTGCCCATTCCTGGGAAGTTGTCAGTGAAGTCTGCCTGGTTTGTGAAATCTCTGCAAGAGTAGATTCTTTGGGGGGATCTTGAGGGGCTATGAGTCTCTGGTCAGGGTGCAGTGTGTATGGGATCAGACCTGAGGAAGCAAACCACCAGGAGTTGGCAGAACCCCCACCATTGGCTTTCCACCGAGGTCATGGAATGAGACCTAGACCTCTAAGGGCAAGGTTGTACCAGCTGACACTGAACTTACTTTTATTTATTTATTTTTTTAAGTTTATTTATTTATTTTTAAGAGAGACACAGAGAATGTAGGCGGAGGACAGAAGATCCAAAGCAGGCTCTATGCTGACAGCAGAGAGCCCGATGCAGGGCTCGAACCCACGAACTGTGAGATCATGACCCAAGCCAAAATCAGGCACTTAACTGACTGAGCCACCCAGGCGCCCCTGAAGTTACTTTTAATTTTGGACTGAAGATGAAAGGAATTTGCTGTTCTGAATTCAATAATTATTAAAGGGAATCAATGGTTGACAGATTATCATCCCGAAGGGCAGAGAAAACTATCTGCAATAGTGTTAATAACACAGACTCAGGATTAGTGTAGTAATCTGAAACTGTTTGGGGTGTATTGTAGGACAGAATAGATAAGAAATTATATTGATGTTGGGAACCAGGGTTCTCACCGTGGAAGTAGGAAGGCACAAATCTGGAGCAGGGGAAACGACAAAGAACTACTTGATGTTGTACTGAATTGGAGGTATGGATATAAACTCATGACTTAATACACATACACATTGTGTTTATATTTCCCGGTTTCCTGGCTCTTTTCAATGAAAGAGCCTAGAAGCAATGACATCTGGTCATAAACACATTTAGCACTCAGATCTTGGTTTCTAAATCCCAATACCCACTGATAGAAACTGGGGCTTCTTGGAGAGGTGGTCAAATCTACATCTGGGGCAAGAGGAACTGCAACAGAATATGGGAGGGTGCCCAAAGAATGAAGACACAGGAACTGGCTTGAAGGGAAACCCACCAGTCACATTTGGGAGAATTTGAATGTTAAGAAGAATACAATAGGTTATAACATATTGAAGAATGATAATAATAGTGGTGATAATAAATGCAGGGGTCAATAATGGCAACAGGAAGGAGGAGGAGAAATCCATCAGTCCGCAGTCCACTAGAAGTGTGGGAGAGGGAAGCTCATCTTCACAGAAGAATGTCAGCTGATAAATGTAGCAGGAAATAGCCATTGTGTAACCCTCCATGAAATAACTGCCTCTGACCAGGATCTCTTATGGATACTGCTTGCATAGAGTAATGAGTTGTAGGGAAACAGGATATCCAGATGTTTGCAAGTGAGTCTCGCCCCTGTTAGCAGAGGGGAAAAGTTATCTTTACTGTGAAGAGCTTGGAGGACACCCCTTTAACCAGATGGCCAAACTTAACTTCACTAGCCATGAAAAAACTGACATTATGTGCCTTCTGATGTGATATGATTCTGGTAGTAATCCCTAAATACTGGAATATGTGAAAGTCTAAAG